TTCCTCCGCTTTGCATCCTCCGTCTCCGTTCCGTGGAGGTGCAACGCCAACTCTCGTTATAACTGCGGCCCGTTCACCGCGAGGCTGACCTCGATTCCACGTTTCAAGAACGTGCCAACTCGGCGTCACGACTCGTCGCGACCTTTGCTTTATTCCTCTTCTTCCTCGCCTCCTATCACCGATTTTTACCGATAACGGCGTTCTAATATGAACGAAACGATTTATCGAACGATTCAGTTCTTCAAAGGGGAAAAAATAATCTACCTTTTTTTTTTTAAACCGTTTGGATTATTTGTTTCAAAATCATTTCTTCGTCGTTTCTTCTGTAAAAAAAATCTTGTGTACAAGAATCGCAACAGTGTGAAGTTTGAAAAAGATTGGCCATCAAGATCCGTGACACCAACTTAATAATAGGTCGTGAGAGGTAGCTTAAATCGAGCGTGTACAGTTTCTGGCCACTTGCCGGACTTCGGGAACGCTGAGAAGTGCAGCCGAGGTGCCGGCAAGGTGAGTACGACGATCGACTGGACGAGCGCGCGTCTGATTAACTCGTTCCTTCGTGGAAAGCTTCCGTTCGAGAACACACATATATATATATATTTAACAGTGACTAAAGCGCGTTCAAGGAGACGTGTCTCGCGGCTAGCCTCTTTGTCCGCGTTCAACAACCGTGGCGGATTACACGTAGGATCGCCCCATTTTTCCAATTTACGAATCGGGAACAACTGTTCTTTTAACCATCTTAACGCTAACGATTCCTCCGTGGAAACTCGACTCTCTCGGCCGAGCAGAGAGATTGAACGGATGAGCCTCGCGTTTTGAATCCATCGAAAAATAAATGGAGAAGGAATCGATGAGGTTTTGATGTTGGATAGATCGAGATGGAGTGGACGAGCAGGTACCGTTATTACCTGTTCCCAGAACAGTCTCCAATTTTATCTCTCCGTTCCTGCACACCGGTCAGGAAGAGGAGGAAGAAGACTCGATTCCTCCCGTCTCCCTTTCGACCACTCTCTCTCTCTCTGCATGCATCTTCTTCTCCTCTCGCGAAATTTCAGGGTCGTTAACCCCTGAAAACGAGTCGTTTCCAGGGAAATATTTTTTTTTCTCCTCTTCTTTCTTTCTTTCTTTCTTTCTCCTTTTTCTTCGACACCTCTCCAAGTGATCTCGAGATACGGGATTTTCTTATTGGGAAACGAGACGAAAGCGGAGTTAACGAGGGGCTCAGTTATTCGAAGGATACACCGTCGTGAAACTCACGGACACGGTTATCAAGGTCATGCTCCATTCGAGGTTAGAGACGCGGTTAAATTAATTTCCGATCGAGTGGAAGCTGGCAATGAGAATACTGTGAGAGAAGGAAAGGAGGGATGGAGGGCGTACACCGATACGATTCCGAAACGTGCGCGGCAGAGATCGTTGTCCTCGTTCGAAGGTGCATGGATGCGCGCGCTCATCCGACTCCTACCAGCCACCTGCCGCATACCTTCAGCCTTCGTAGCCGGAGGCGGCAGCCTGCCTCTCTCTCTCTCCGAGCAGAGGCTGAAAAAAAGATTCGCTTTCGCGAAAGTACGAAGAACGCGGCCTTTTCGTTCCGTCGTCGTCGTCGTCTTATGAAAACGTGAGCGGTTGGCTTAGAGAGAGATGAAAGAAGAGGTGAAATCAACGAACGAAAATTTGAATCGCGTACCGTTATGCATAGATTCCTGACAAGTAATTTCCTGCAATATTTTTCGATATTAATACACGAAACTCTGTCATTTTTTTTTCAAAACTTTCTCCTTGACAAAAATTATACGCTATCGTGTCCGTTGGATTTTAAAGACACGTAATTTCAATAAGTTTTCAATCTCTCGATCGACGTGCAAATAATCGTGCATAATCTGGATTAATCTATCCTATCCTCCTCCTGGGACGAGTAAACCTGGGTAGCCCTTTTTCGAGAAGAATCGGGAGCAGAAAACTGAGAATTCAAAAGGAAGTGGATAGGGAAAGAAACGTAACGCCACGGAGGAATTCTTGGCACGCGACGCCTATGCACCGTTGCTCGAGGAGCGGTTCGCAGCCCGTTCCACGCGACTCCAGCCCGGGCTCCGGAATCGGTAATTGCTAGGCGAGCTGTCGATCGGCCTGGTTACGCGCCCGATTTCGGCTCGAAAACCGTTTTTCCTCGGCCTCGTCCACTTTCGTCCACTCCGAACAATGGCGAATAATGGCTCGGTAAACGCTTCCCTCCATTATTATTACGTAAAAGTTAACCGCACACGCGATGACGATCACGCGAGCTCATCGTTCATCGCCCCGATAAAACGATACATTGACGAATTCGATTATTTTTCGAACGAAGATATATAGGAGAAGATCGATGGTACGCATTAATAATTTTAAGGATAAAAAAATTAATCTAAAATTGATCCGCTTAAAAATTGCAATAATTGAGATAATCTCCGTTCTTAAGGAATCATCGATCAACGATTTATGAATGAGACGCAGATAAGAAAACTCGTAGCTCTATGGTAAAACTCTATTGTAATGGTTCGAGAAAAATGGTTGGAGAAACGAGTCTCGTAATGATTAGCCTCGCGGCAAGCGAAATCACAGGCGCGCGCGCGCACGTCGCGCCAGCAACCCAGATCTTCGCGCGCGATGGAGATATACCGTTAAAACGAACCAGAGGCCCGTAACTCCCGTTCGAGTCGTCGTTTTGCCAGCAATCCCCCTCCTTCTCCTTCCCTCCGATCGCGAGAGGAAATCGCGGAGGAAGTGCGGATCGAGGAACCGAGCCTCGAAAAGGATAAACGAACTTTTTTTTCCACCGTTTCTTCCAATAATAATTGTCGCACTTCGAATTGCTTCGCGGACAAACGTGTGAAACGAGATCGTGCGAGAGTGAGATCGTAAGATGACGTTGAATCGATAAAAAAAGATATTCGGCGCACCGATGATACAGATACCGTTCATTAAGCTCGGCTATAAACTACTTCCCGCGTGTTCCTTGTCTTGCGCGTACATAGAACGGTTCCACGAGCGAAAGTAATTTTAGCGGGAAGTTATCGCGATAATAATAGGGTGGCAGGAGGAGCGGTTTTTTGTCGTGTTACGCGTTTCCTTGTTTCTCGAATCGAGAGCGACGAGGACGGAGAGCAGCATCGTGAGCTCGTGCGCTCTGACGAAATCGTTACGTGCCGCGTCTGCACTAAAACCGTTCGCGAGCAGAATTGTTCGCAATAAAGATAAAGTTAAAACGTACGAGCTCGTACGTATAATGTATCGTTTCTCGAACGTTTCGTTTCGTTGTTCAGGAGATGGGCAAAATTTTAATCGAGGTTAAATTAATTACAAAGTTGTTCGATCGAATCGAACGAATAAAGAAAAAGTAATCGAAATTTCCGCCGATCGATTTTTCAACGATTGCCTCACCGCGAGTCCAGTGACCTCACGCAGTCGGATCAAGCGAGTTTGAACCTTCGAAAGGATCGGAAGGAGAAGATCGCGCGAATAATTTCCCTTTCGACGCGTGGCACACCGAGCGTTTTGAAACGCGAGCGAAAAACAAGGAACGGTTGTTCTCGCCTCTGAATCAGCGATCCTGATAAACGGCGACGGCGCAACATTCTCACGGCCGTCGCGCCGCTTTCGAGCCTCGTGCATCGTCTCGGCGCGCATTGTTCCGCCGCGGCTTTTTGCATAATTCCACTTCCGACATTCCGCGGCGTTGCAGGCCGCGTGGCCACCGAGCGGCACGGTTCCACCGGCGAAAGTGGCTTCGATGGCGAATAATCGACAACTACGAGCGTAAGATGGGTAAGGATGGTGGGGAGGGGAGGGGGGGGGGGATAGGCGAGGGAGAAGAGACGACGGATGGCCGCGTGTTGGCGCGCCATCGATGGGTCTGTTTGCGGTTTTGCAAAACGGGCCAGTGTCGGTATGTCGGACACGTCTGACAGGATTACCCGCAATATCGGTGAGAATGGAATCGACGTAACTCGAGTGTCGCCGCGATAATCCCACCGCTTCTGGGATACGAGGGAAGTAGGAGCGTTTCTCCATTCTCTCCCCCGTTCTCTCTCCAACGCGTTTGTTCCTACTTCTCTCTTCTTCTCCTCTAGTCGCGCGACTAGACCAGAAGAGGAAGAGGAAGAGGAGAAGCGAGCTTCTTGCTTTTCTCTCCATTCTCTCGATCCTTATGGGGATAACTCCATACGGGGATAATATGGAACGTTGTACAGTATATCTCGGCTAAGATAGACGACAGAATTTGTCTCGAAGTTCGCGAACAGGTGTCGCGTACGATCGACTCGCGTTGGTCGAAAAATCTTTTTTCGAAAAATCTTTCTCGAAAAAAATGGCCGTTAACCACCGTATCCCCTCCCCCTCCCTCTCCCTCTCCCCTCTCCCGAAACAACGGGGTCGACGGTGTTCAAACTTCTTTAAGCGCGGAGTAGGGGGCGCGATCGAATCGGAGGAGCGCGATGGACAGGTCCGACGAAATCGGCGGGGAAGGAGAGGGGAGGGGAGGGGGGGGGGCGCTCGAGCGGGCGCTCTCCGCTCGCGGGTAAAGGAGGTTGAGCGAGCGGGGTGGGACGGAGGGAAGGGGGGGGAGGGGCGGAGGGAAAGGTGGACAGAGACAGGAGACGGTGTTTGTAATCAAAGGGGCGATTCGCGGTGCGGCGTGGAAGAAAGTCAGCCTACCGAACGAGCCAGTCCGGCACGGCGCGTTGTCCCGAATGCACGTCGAACCATCGATTTCCGCGTGTGCTGCCCACGTGATCGAGCTAGCTCCGTCCCGCAACACGACACCTCTCCCCGACTCGGCCGTGCCTCGGCCGTTGCTGGTGTGCTCGTGTCGGTGCTCGGGTTTCGGCCCAACGCGCGTTCACGGATTTCGTCCTCCCGCTCGAATCGATCCATCTCTGATCGCGGAATTGGATTTTCGGAGAAATTTGAACGAGATTCGAATTTGGTGAGAAAGGAGGCGAGATTGGACGGACAACGAGAAGAGGAAAAGACAGAGAGAGAGAGAGAGAGAAAGAAGGTTGGAAGATCACGTGGCCGGGGAATACGGTGTATATCGGTGGATAGAGGCCAGAGACACGAGGCCGGTTTTTCACCGCGGTATCTCTCCTCCAGGGATGAAAACGAGTGGCGAATGAATGGTAAGTAAGACGTAGAATTGGCGCGGGACAAATCTGCCGTATGGATGACGTCGTTGGAAATCCGTATAATCTTTCGAGGATCGTTTCGCGATTACAGCCGCGCAAGGTCGGCGAGCGGATGAGCGAGGAGAGATAGGCGTGAGGTGACGTGGTCGGTTTATTAGAAACGAAACGTTACCCATAATAATGGAAAAGAGAGTGGCATATTGAACGCGACGCGTTCTACCTAATCGCGAATGCTTTTAATCCCTTTAACTTGGAGACGACACTTCGGCGGCTTCGGATGCGAACGTCACTCTGATATGAAATCGAGGCAACTTATCGCGCTCTCGCGAGATACCGCGTTTTTCGCGTTCTCGAGCATAACAGTCCTTGACGATCTTTCAGAGGTCGCGATATTAAAAGCGAGAAAAATATCGCGTAACTCGTGTTTCTGATTTCTCTCTTTCTCTCGATGATCGATTCATCGACTTCCCCCTCCCCACGAGTGGAGTAAAAGGCTACCATAGATATTGCCAGACGACGTTTCCTCGGTTCGACAAGAAATCTCTCCTTCGAAACCAGTTTTCACGATAGCGGAGCCTTTGAAAGCTTGATGGCATTTGACATTTTTTTTTCCTTTTCTCTCTCTCTCTCTCTCTCTCCTCTCGAGCGGATTTTCTTCGCCGCCAGGTGTATTATTCGAGTAACGCATGGACGATCGTTATTCACGTCGTGAAAGTTTTCAAAGTTCCGCGCGACGAAGCGCCACACGGCTCGGCAAACGAAACTACCGCGCCACTACTAACCGTCCCTTTACACGCGAAACACGCCGATTTTTATATTCCATTTCGTCGTTGCGCAACGCTTCCGTGTTTCTAGAAACCAGGATCGGCAGCTCGTTCTCCACCTGGGCCGAGGCGATTTATTTATTTGGTTCAATCGTGAGCCTTTTGAAGCGTCGAGGTGGAAAAAGCCGGGTGGAAGAATCCCGAAGACGATGCGTAGGCCACGTATTTCGAAGGTGATGCGGCGCGCGCGCCGTCATAAAGGTCGCGATTTGAATTGAACGGACTCTCCGCGATTTGAAAGTTCAAACGACGGGGGACGACAATGGTTAACGACTCGATTGGAAACTAGATATATAAAAGGCGCGAAGCCAAAGGCGTGCTGGAGGACGACCAGTTTGAAAAGCATTTAAATTCCAATTCCTTTGACAAAAAGAATCGACTTTTTTTTCAAACAAATTTCATCAAAATGCTCGACGATGCTTTTGCATCGAATTCGTGACTTGCAAAAAAAAAAAAAAGAAGAAAAGTGGAACGATCGTTATTATTAAGACTTGTTGTTGTTATTGTTAAGAACGATTAAAAGAAGAAGAAACGTAAAAGGAGGTTTCCCTCGGCGAAATGAATGCAGATGGATTCGAGTAATGAATGGAGCACGCTGTCAAAATCCGTGAGGCGTGACGGGGAACGCGATTGCGTAATTCTGCCGTATTGTAGGATCGTTCACGGGTGGGAAAATGAAGAGTTGCAAAGGGTTACGAGCCTCCATTTGCCCCATTTAATCGAAGTATAAACATTTCCGCCCGGAACCGACCCGAATAACGAATTGCCCACAGATTCTTGCATAGTGTCACGAGAATGTTAACTCGTCCGTCAACACGCCTTGATTCCTCGCCTGTATCTAATCGCAATCGCTTTAATCGCCTCGTCTCGATATCTCGTGTAATTGCTAAATATAATCGTCGTGTAATTATCCTCGGCCGTAAAAATGTTTCTACGCGCGATTTCATCGTGTATATTTGTTCAATTCCCCCCCCCCCCCTCCTCCCTCTCCCCCCAGTCTTTTTCTTCCCTCTCATTGCACAAAAATGGATAAAAATGTTTCTATCAAGCAAATCTTGAAAAAGTATATGCACAAAGAATAACATAATATTTTGTACGTAATAATAATAATAACTTTCTATTCCTGTAAACGTTATCGAGTTCTCCGTTTCATTTATTCTCCTTCGCATTCCGAATCAAAAAGATAAATATTTTTATTCGTAGAAAAAAAATATACCCGCGTAATCAAAATTATAATTACACATAATTACACGATTCCCCCGGTTATTCGATTTCTGGTCGGGCGATAACAGAGTTTGGAATTTGCACGCGGGAAGATCGATCGGTGAGAGATAAGGTAAAAGAGCAGAGCGGGCATTAAGTCGAATGTATTAAGTAGAATGTTCGAGGAGGAGGGGAATGGAGGGACGAGTTGTAGGTCAGTTTCGAGCGGTTTATTAATTCGAGGCAGGTTTAGGTGTCCCGGTTGTTTGACAAACCGATTACTCGCTCGTAACCGAGCCCGTGCATTTATTAGGATGCGGTGTATATATATATATATATATAGTATTTCGGGTGTCGAGCAGTTAGAGGGTTCCTCTCGTGGAGGGGAGGGGAGGGCGACCGCCATTACGTGCCAATTTCCTGGCCTCGCTCGTAAACGTTCTTCTACGCTTTCGATTCTTCTTCCCTCGCCGAGAGAGTAAATAATTGATCGGGAGAGGAGCAAGAACAAGGAGATATTCCTAATTGGATGGATCCAATTGCGCTTTCCAAAAGTGGACTCCACACGGGTGGAAGGAACATACGTTTATGGTAACGAGCGTATCCGCGAGCAGTGTCGCGTGATCTCGTATAAAAATACGAGAGATTCGACGAGAAAAAGAAAAAGAAAAAAAATGAATAGAAAAAACGAATAAGAGAAGGATCCCGTTGGAAATTTCTACTCGCTCGGACGGAGCAATGAAAATTTGAGAAAATTAAATGTATATATATATATATAAGATTCGTGAGAACGTAGCGTGGAATTTGATAAGAAAATACTGCTCTTAATTAATTAAATTCCGTACGTTTATTTTGACGTGCAATTTGGGATGTGAAGAAATGGAAAAATTGTAAAAACGTGGAGGATTCGAAAGAGAAGGATCCTCTCGAAATTTCTATTCCTCCACCGTGGTTAATTAAATTCGTTATTGGCGCTCGTCTTCAACACCCGTGCAATACGAGAAAATTAAACGCGTCTCTAAAAAGGTAGAACGCAGAATTCGACAAGAAAACGGTTGGTTCTTGGGAAATTTCTGGCCATCGTATTAGTTATTATCGCACGTGGGCATAGCGCATACAGGTATCGTGCCGAGATATTACCACCTCGATTTTCATTCCCGTTACGGTACACATAGAGTTGAATGGCATCAGCAACATTTCTGATTAATAGTTAATAGTTTCTTCTTTTTTCTACTTTTTAGCAGGTGGACACGTAGAACGTGCGAAGACTGACTAGGATTCGAGTTTTTTTTTTTTTCTTTTTATTTCGGTCACTCGATGTTTTCTGAGGGAAAAAAAAAAAGGAAAAAGTAGCATTAACTTCGAGCTCCTCTCATCCTTCGCGCGACGAATCTTTATAAATAAATTCAAATTCTCCTCGAAATATCCCGACAATTTTTTAATAACGAAGAACAGAAACACGGAGAGAACGTATGAAGCGGTCGACACGATTAGCGCGATAAAAGAAATAAATATAATAACCCCATTTAAAAGGACATCAACGATTTTCTCTTGAAACGCGTATAGAAAGAAGAGAACTACGAGTAACGACTCTCTCTGAAAAATTTTTTGCCATCGATAATAAACACAAACGGGCAACGAAACGAGATTGCACCGTCCGAGACGAGCCACGTTATATACATACACGTATTATATAGCTTTCTCCGCTATCCGCGAACGGAAAGACCTTGGAAACTTATCCCTCCCGAGAGAGGGAGGGAGGGAGGGCAGACGGGGGAGGGGTGGGGAAGGAGGGGAGGGATACGAGGTTTCGCCACGTCTCGTGAGAATCCGCGGATGAAATTGAACGTTCCCCTCCGAACTTTCGACCGATTATCCTCGAAATTATTTTATTTATTTCCCTTTCCCGACCGGTGGCTTTGATTGATTTCTGTGTCAAGTTCGAAACGAAAGTTGGAAGGGCAGATGGATTTGGATCGATCCGCGGGTTTCGTAATAATATTTTCACGACGCTTCGAACGCCGTGTCCCGAGCAACAGAGCCGGCACATCTCGAGAATGTGCCGCTCGGCCCTGCGGCTACGAATTCCGTTACGCGCACTTGTATGGCTCTCCCCGCCTTCCTCGCCCCTCCCCACCACCGCTCTGCCCGGCGATAAATTTTTTTTCGCCGACCGCCGTTCCTTCTCTTCTCGGTCTCCGCGAAATATATATATATATATATATATATATATATGTGTGTGTGTGTGTGTGTGTATGTGTGTGTATATCGTCGTTCGTTTCCCCTGAAATTTTCGTCCAAAGCGTTCTTTCCATTCGGGAGAAGTCGCTCAAGGTGTGGAAAGTCGCGTAGAAATTCGCGATAATCGATAATCGACGAAGTCAGGAAAGCGTGATCGCGCGTTAGGAAAGTCCGATTCTGTATCTGATCAATGACGTAGAACCGAGTCGACCGAGAGAAGGATTCTTGCCGATATCTCCCCTCCCAGGTGCCACTGGCCGTTTTCGTCCAGCGCGCGCGCGACGAAAGGAAGGGGACTCGCGTCGAGACCTTTATGGAAAGACGGCCGCTGCGAAAAAAAATAACGACCGTGACGATCTCGGTGGGGGGCGATTGGCTCGATCAGCTGATTGACCCGGGGTCAATCTACTTTCTACTCGAGGCTATGGAAATCGAATCGTGTAGAGAGAAAGAGAGAGGGGGAGCACACTTTCTCGCGATCGTGACGATGCGGTGACGAGTGAAAACTCGGGACGGGGATGCAGAGATCTTCTAACTCGATTCCTAAATTCAAGAAGGAAGGAAGGAAGGAAGGAAGGAAAGATAAAGCGTTTCTCCGACGTACGGTGTAACAGTACAACAGAAGAGGAGTCGGGGAAAAACGAACAGTTACAGGGGGAACATGAAAGTTGCGCGTTAAGTTGGTCACGCGAGCTCGGCCGGCTAAGATCGCTTAATGACCCCGTCCGCGAGGATGTTCGCGCTACGCGTGACACAGTTTCGCTCCACGTTACGATCCCCGTGATTTCTGCTTGGCAACGTGCGTGCCTGCGATTCCCTCGAGATCCTCGAGTGCCGCGAAATCGTCCTCTCCCTCGTCCTTTATCTTTCCTCCACCGTTCGAAAAAGATCGAAACTCCTTATAAACTCGATCATCGCGCGGTGCAAAAAACTAAACTAAAAGTTGTCGCGCGCGCACGCGCGCGCATAGATGCAAATTATCCGTGAGTACAATGGAACGGAAATGATTTCAGGGAGTGGCCAGCATTCCGGAGTGCAAAGATCAGCGGGCCTGCTATGAATGGGACGGTTTGACCACGATCCGGAAAATGGATGTGGCAAAGAATGGCGGAACCGTGGAGGAGTTCGTGACCGTGGTGAGCGTGGACGGCCATCCCCCCCGCCCCCCCACCGAGAATTTCGTCACCGTGCTCTCGATCGGTAACGACACGAGCAACGACAAGGCGACGAGCAAGGAGGAGAAGGAGGGGGAGGAGGGGGCGGCGAGGACGTCGTCGGTGAAGGTCGTCGGGGCGGAGGGGCCGCTGGAGGAGGAGGTGGAGGTGTACAGGCTGCCCGGGGAACGACTGGGCTTCGGGCTGAAGTTCGAAGGGGGGAACAAAACGTCGGAGAGGGTGAGACGGTTGTTCGTGCAGAGCTGCGCGGAGCAGAGCCCGGCGAGCAGGGCGAGATGCTCTTGGGGCACGTTGGGCGAGGGTGACGAGGTAACCTTTTTTTTTCGATTCGTCGTCCCCTTCTCCCTCTCACGCGTCGCTCACGCTCACTTTTTCCAGGTGCTCTCGATAGACGGGGTGCCGGTGACGCACATGACCCGACTGGACTGCGTGAGACGATTGAAGGAGTCGCAGCTGGTGATCAAGCTGATGGTGAGGTGCAGGGGGGCGCTCAGGCCCGAGGTGGTGAGCGCGGAGAAGAAGAGCTCGCCGGAGAGCAAGGTGCCGCCCGAGCTGCCCTCGGCGCCCCCCCCAGTCCCCCCCAGAAAGTTGAGGCTGGCTCGAGGCTCGGCCGACGGGGAGGCGAACCCGAACCCCGTCGCCAAGAAATCGTGGAACGTCGGTTCTTCGCAACAATTTAACAACAATTCCCAGACGAGCTCGCAGTCCAGTTCTCGAAACGGCTCCCCCGGCTCCACCGATCGTCAATCGAAATCGGGGGAGGGGAGCAGCAAGTCGACCTCGTACGAGAGCTGCGAGTCCTCGCCTCGGAGCGGAGGAGAGAGATCGGTGCGCGAGAGCCCGAAGGGATCCCCGCCCGCCAAGGAACGTTCGCCCGAGGTGAAATCGAAACAGGTCAGCTCCCGATTCGAGCGCTTTCCCTCTCGTTCGAGACGATTCGAGTATCGAGGCTGGTTCGTTTTGTTTTTAGGAACCGCCGGAAGCGATGGTGTACGTGGACGCGAGGTCGCAGTGCGGCTCGACGCACGGCTCGACGTCGGACGACACGGGTAGCTCGATGTCGACCGTGATCGACCGTTTCTCCACCTCTGATCGGGTGTCGACCATCTCGACAGCCTCGTCCACAGCCTCGACGGCCTCCGAACAACCGGGCGAATATTCTGGCCAGGATTTCGGGGAGCGGACCCCGTCCAAACCGTCCACCTCGATATGCCCGTTCGAGGACGACTACCACTCGTCGAGCCCGCCCGACTACCTGCTGCGCCGTCTGGCCAGCTCGGAGGCGGTGACCCACGTGGAGTCGCGGGGCGAGGTGGAGAGGATCACGGCGGTGGTTGCGCCGAACACGGTGCTGATCGAGGAAACGATCACGTTCCAACCGCCGCTCAGCTTCCAGGACGCGCCGTTGAGCTACGGGCACGAGGCCAGGCCCGACCTCTTCTACACCGCCGACCTGGCCGCCGACTCGACCACGCACTTCAGACCGATCAAGGACGACGTGGAGCTGGTGGAGCGCGTCAACAGCACCGAGCCGAGCGTGGAGAAGAGGACGCCCCCTCCCCTGCCAGCGAGGAATCACGTGAACAGGATCACGGTGAATCGTGGGCCGCCGACCGTCGACCCGCGTCCCCAGAGATCCAACGTCGAGAGCGACGTCCCTGTCCTCCCGCCCAAGCCGTTGCCGAGGAGGGACGTGAAGATCAGGCGCAAGAGGCCGCCACCACCTCCGCCGCCTCCGCCACCCGCGATCCCGCCACGAGCCGAGGCGAAACCACCCTCGTCTTCGTCCTCCTCCTCCTCCTCCTGCTCGTCTTCGTCCGGGCAAACGAGCTTCGAGAACGAGAACGACGAGAACGAGACATTGCGCGTGGAAACGATCGCGGCCGACCGGCTCGAGGAGGCGGCTGTCGCCAGAGCGGAACAGGCGAGGCCTCCCTTCGATCTCGAGGAGAGGAGGAACGAGGAGGAGACGGACGACACCGAGTCTATGGAGAGCTACGAGGTCGGGGCGTGCAGGACGAACAAGGTGTTGGAGATAATCGAGATAAGAAGGCGAGAGCGTTCCCCCTCGAAGGCGGCCGAGGAGGAGGAGGAGGAGGAGGAGGAGGAGGAGGAGGTTGTTATTAAATCCGAGGATAAGGTTAATCGGCAGCAGGAGGAATCGAAGCGAAGAATAGCGATGGAGGATTCGGACGAGCAGGTGACCAAGTTCAACGAGCCCGTGGACGAAGAATCGGAGGAGAAGGTGGACTCGACGCGGCGAGAGAGCGACGAGAGCGAGGGCTCGTATCGATCGTGCGTCGACGAGTCGAGCGGTGATCGGCCGGCGGTGATCCCAACCGGCGAGCAGCCGATGGAGGACGAGGACGAAACGAGCGAGGAGAGCGACGAGGGAGATTACTATTGGCAGAGCAACTTGGCAACGATCGGCGAGGAGGAGGAGACCAATTCTCTGGAATACGCGACCCCGTGAGTCTATACGAGTCTATTCGCGGTGAATAGAAAATTATTATTGGCCTCTTTCGACGATGGAACGATATCCGCCAGTTGATTCGATGCGCTTTTTCTCGCCGATCTTATCTCGTTCCAAGGGAAAGGAATATTTTTACGTTAGGAGAACTAGAGCGAAGGAATAAATCTACGCCGTTTATTAATTCGAAACTACGAATTGCGTCTAGACAATCGCGCGGTTACTCCTAATTGTAAGCAAATTATACATTGTTCTCGCCTGACATTTCTCGAGCATCGATTAAGATACCAAGAATACACCACGGGCGAAACGCTACTCGTATTTATTATTTGCGCATAAACGCGCTCGAACCACGCCCTGACTAGATATTTACGAGGTATTTTTTCGAATTCGATCGAGAAAAATAAAGGGGAACGAATCTTTTCAAATCCGGTGGATCGATAATTCTTGTTCGAACCGCGCGATTTAAAAAAAAGAAATGATCGATGTCTCTGTATCGCGGATATTTGAAGAAACATTTGCTTTGTTAACACCCGTTTCTTTTTGTTGCGAAGGAACAAGGAGGCGAGCGACAGCGAGGCAATCGCCGCGGGGAAAACGGAGCGACAAGAATCGGGGGGCAAGGAGGACGCGTTCGATGCAAATGGTAAGTAGAAATACTTCTTATATTCCTCGGTCGTTTAAAACTCGAAGGAACGCCAACCCTTCCTTCCATCCATCGTATCGATTTCCATATTTCTCTTTTTTTCTTTCGTTTTCGAAAAAATATGAAATACATTCGAAGGGAAAGGTTGGAATCGGATTTTTTTTCGATTTCTACCTTTGTTATCGATAAAATAATTTTGCTTCGAAATCGAGAGAATCAGGACGAGAGCGCGGTGGTTTTCCACGCGGTTGGAGCGTTGGCGGAAAGGAAGGAATTCGGCGTGGAGAGAGTAGTACGCGCACGCCCACGCGCGGAACCCTCGGTCGCGCTTCATAAAGGTTACGCGCGTTGAATCTCGCCGCGTTACGCGCCGCTAAGGTTCTCCGGTTTCGCTACCGAGTTGGAAACGGAGGCGGCAGCCCCTCCACGAGGGAGAGACAAAGGCGTGTTTGCCCGGGCGCACCTTCGACGCGAGGAATTCCGAACCGCGCGGATCCGCTCATTGTCCGCCAAAGATGGATCGTGGCTTACGCGTGGGAAATCGAGGATCGGCCGATTCGTTTAAATTATAATAGCACGTGCATTTATTTTTTTTTTTTTTTATTGAAGAGTACTTATTTATTTATTTATTACGGGAATTATTTATAGAATCTCTAGTTTGGAGCGCGAGCTTTTAATTCAATCTATTGTGGAAAAGGCGCGCGCACGGTAATTGTTAGGCTGGATGTACCGGATGTCGATTACAGTGGGCGTATGCGCGATCATTTACACTTGCCGCATTATTACCAGCGCCCTCTACGCACGATCCGCTCTTTTCGCACCTCTCCTACTTGGATCGCGCGTTAGAATAGTCTTTTAAGTATGAATTTTCACGTTTGTAATTGGAGTTCGAGGAAAAGATCCAATGTGGAAGGAAAAACGCTACTCGTATTTATTATTTGCGCATAAACGCGCTCGAACCACGCCCTGACTAGATATTTACGAGGTATTTTTTCGAATTCGATCGAGAAAAATAAAGGGGAACGAATCTTTTCAAATCCGGTGGATCGATAATTCTTGTTCGAACCGCGCGATTTAAAAAAAAGAAATGATCGATGTCTCTGTATCGCGGATATTTGAAGAAACATTTGCTTTGTTAACACCCGTTTCTTTTTGTTGCGAAGGAACAAGGAGGCGAGCGACAGCGAGGCAATCGCCGCGGGGAAAACGGAGCGACAAGAATCGGGGGGCAAGGAGGACGCGTTCGATGCAAATGGTAAGTAGAAATACTTCTTATATTCCTCGGTCGTTTAAAACTCGAAGGAACGCCAACCCTTCCTTCCATCCATCGTATCGATTTCCATATTTCTCTTTTTTTCTTTCGTTTTCGAAAAAATATGAAATACATTCGAAGGGAAAGGTTGGAATCGGATTTTTTTTCGATTTCTACCTTTGTTATCGATAAAATAATTTTGCTTCGAAATCGAGAGAATCAGGACGAGAGCGCGGTGGTTTTCCACGCGGTTGGAGCGTTGGCGGAAAGGAAGGAATTCGGCGTGGAGAGAGTAGTACGCGCACGCCCACGCGCGGAACCCTCGGTCGCGCTTCATAAAGGTTACGCGCGTTGAATCTCGCCGCGTTACGCGCCGCTAAGGTTCTCCGGTTTCGCTACCGAGTTGGAAACGGAGGCGGCAGCCCCTCCACGAGGGAGAGACAAAGGCGTGTTTGCCCGGGCGCACCTTCGACGCGAGGAATTCCGAACCGCGCGGATCCGCTCATTGTCCGCCAAAGATGGATCGTGGCTTACGCGTGGGAAATCGAGGATCGGCCGATTCGTTTAAATTATAATAGCACGTGCATTTATTTATTTTTTTTATTGAAGAGTACTTATTTATTTATTTATTACGGGAATTATTTATAGAATCTCTAGTTTGGAGCGCGAGCTTTTAATTCAATCTATTGTGGAAAAGGCGCGCGCACGGTAATTGTTAGGCTGGATGTACCGGATGTCGATTACAGTGGGCGTATGCGCGATCATTTACACTTGCCGCATTATTACCAGCGCCCTCTACGCACGATCCGCTCTTTTCGCACCTCTCCTACTTGGATCGCGCGTTAGAATAGTCTTTTAAGTATGAATTTTCACGTTTGTAATTGGAGTTCGAGGAAAAGATCCAATGTGGAAGGAAAATTTGGAAGACCGTTCGTTCAATTTTACGTCTTCTTAACGCACGAAAGAAAGTTGGAATAGCTGAGTACGAATTTTCTTACACTTGCCGCATTATTACGAGGGCGCCACTGCGTTCTCTACGCACGATCCGCTCTTTTCGCACCTCTCGCCAATCTCCTACTTGGATCGTGCGTTAGAGTTGCCTTTTATTTAAGAATTTTCACGTTTGTAATTGAAGCTCGAGGAAAAGATCCAATGTGGAAGGAAGATTTGGAAGACCGTTCGTTCAATTTTACGTCTTCTTAACGCACGAAAGAAAGTTGGAATAGCTGAGTACGAATTTTCTTACACTTGCCGCATTATTACGAGGGCGCCACTGCGTTCTCTACGCACGATCCGCTCTTTTCGCACCTCTCGCCAATCTCCTACTTGGATCGTGCGTTAGAGTAGTCTTTTAAGTACGAATTTTCACGTTTGTTATTGGAGTTTGAGTTCGAAGAAAAGATCCAATGTGGAAGGAAGATTTGGAAGACCGTTCGTTCAATTTTTCGTCTTCTTAACGCGCGTCAAAGCACGAAAGAAAGTTAGAATAGGCGAGTAAGAATTTTCTTACACTTGCCGTATTATTACCAGCGTGCCACCGCGCCCTCTCGCCAATCTCCTACTTGGATCACGCGTTAGAGTAGCCTTTTTAAGTATGAATTTTCACGTTTGTAATTGGAGCTTGAATTCGAGAAGAAAAGATCCAACATGGAAAGAAAATTTGGAAAACTGCTCGCTTAATTCTCGTGTTCTTAACACGCGTCAAAGCACGAAAGAAAGTTAGAATAGCTTTTTAAGTACGAATTTTCACGTTTATAATCGTTTGTAATTGGAGCTCGAGTCCGAGAAAACGATCCAATCTGGGAGGAAAATCTTGAACCACGCGTTAGAGTAGCTAGATTGAATAGCCTTCTTAGTAAGAATTTTCACGTGTATAATCGTTTATAATGGAAGGAAGATTCAAGATTATTCGTTCAATTTCTCGTCACGAAAGATAGTTAGAGTAGCTACTTCGAGCGGCTTTCTAACTACAAATTTTCGAAAACGAACTTCGTTCATGATTGAAGCTCGAAGAAAAAGATCGAATGTGGAAGATTTGGAAAAGCGTTTCTTCGATTTCTCGTCTTCTTAACGCCAAGGAACGAAAGAGTAGCCACTTTCTAAGTACGAATTTTCACGATGGGAGAAAGATTCGTTCAATTTCACGTGTTCTTAACGCGAAATTAAATTTCGAAACGAGAACAGGGGGAACTGGAAAAGAGGAAACTCCTTTCGACCGATCGAGCACCACTCCCCGAAAGTGGAGTGTGAGGTGGGTGTGAGAACGGAACCGTTAAGAATAACCGTCGAGAAGGAAAGCAGAGGCGAGGCATAGGTATATGGCTCTGGGGATGTAGCCAGGAGGTAGCTAGTTTGCTTAACAGCTAACTAAGAGGCCGACCTTTTAGAATCCTATTAAATTCGAGATTTTACGACTCTCGTGCCGGGGATAAACTCGACTGCGCGTTACTCTCCACTTCAAACCCGTATTTACAGAAAGAGGCTCGAAATCCATCCACATTCCACCGTTCACCTCCGTCACCATCCACTCCTTCCTTCCTTCCTTCCCGACCTTGCCGCTCCTTAAACAGAATAACCAACCACCTTTCGACCGTGTGCACCTCTGTCTCCCCATCCTCGATCTCTTAGCCGAGCGAACGAAATCGTTATTCGATCGATTGAGAGAGAGACGAGAATAAATGGCCGGCCGAGTAAAAAGGAAGAAGAGGCATCAGGTGGACCTTCGAGGAAAAGGAGGGTGGGGGCTGGCTGTTGTTGTGGGTGGTTGGTCACCACAACATGGTATGGTAGTCACAACAATATGGCGGCCGCGTTCGCCCCGTCTGGGGAGTTCGAGCAGTGGCTGACCGCGCTCAAGGTCCCCCTTTAATCGCCTTCCTTTTCGAGATCTTTCACTTTGCAGTCCCGATCGAACGCATCGCGATCTCTGGCGAGACTGGCCAACTAGAATGGATTAATTCCTCTCTCGTCCTACGAAAGCGCTGCAGTCTCGATTCGATCGAGACTTTCAATAATACTCGCGTGTTATTCGTCGAGGGAGTCGACGAAAGGTTAGAAGAAGGATCGATTCGAAAAACCGATTCGATAAATCGGCGAGGCGGAAGAGGAGGGAACTGTGGAAACTATTAGGCGGAGAATTATCGAAGTCGACGTGCACCGCTCTCTTTCCACTGAAATTAGATCGTCCGCTTTTATTTATCGCGGACAACTCGCGACGATAGATGGCTCCTCTCGAGGAGGATCTCTCCCTGTCAGACCTCCCTGTCCCCAGACCGAACCGGTTCGATCGAGAACCGTTTAATCGAAACGATCGTCGTTTTCCTCCCCCATTTTCCAAAATCCCTCCGCATAATTTTCCAAACGTCTTCGATATTCCATCGAGAGAGACGATAAAGAAAAAAAAAAAAAACTCGTTTCGCCGCGCATCCCGGAAATACGGCAGCGACGATATCTCGCCGACGGATGAGCGAGGAATTCACCGTGGCGGAAGGGGAAACGGCACTCGTCACAGCACGGAGGAGGAGAAAATTCGAAAGGATCCGACACGCGGCATCCGACGACATTCCAACGGCTCGACCCGGAAGGTCGAGCTCCGTTCGATCACCTTCGATAAGTCATCCGTGCAAGGATTCGTTCGCGTTGTAACGAGCCTCCTCGTTGAATCGCGAATAATTGGCACTGGGGAAGTGATTCGGGGAAGGGATACTCGAGACGATACAGTACTGTTGTTTGTATCGTTTCGTGAACA